TTTTATCTTACAGAAGGCTTTTCAGTTGTTTCTAGTATTATCAGATCTAGTTAGGCATTTCCTTTGTCCAAAATGATCTGCTCTTCTTCTTTAGTGTCCAGTGAGGTCTCTTAACTCATATCAAGATATCACGTACTCCTGCATGTACTGTAATCCATTAATTGTCTTCACTTACACATTGGTCAGCTTTCACCTTTAAACATGTAAAACCATCTTCTCTTTCTTCATAGTTAGCTTATAAGTACTATACATAATTGATTGTTTTAACTGACGGTTGTCCATAAACAAAAATATATACACAGATATGCGAAGATCTTAGTTTTCAGCAAATTTATCGATGAAGTATGATTGCCATATTTCAATGTTGCTGATCCAGCTGTAAAGCATTTTACAGAGACCTCACAGTTTCTCTTAAATACTCCAGTAATAATCTCTTCAGAGTATTCTTTACATCCTTAATCAAAACACCATTAAGATGTAAAGAGACGTTATCTTTTGTATTCCTGGTACGATATACTTAAAGGAGAATTCATTACTCTAGTCACATTCAGTCTGGTGGATTACATTAGTGAATTAGACAAATTGGTATTTAAACACTTTAGCTGAACAGGGAATTAAACAACCCAAGTGGAATTTACTCTACAACAGGACCTAGAAGCTGTAGGAAACATAAAAGTACAGACATTTAGAGTACTCATTCCTTTCATTGAACAGATGTTATCAGAAGATCTTTAAATAAAAGAACAGGAACAGTAAGTGTTTCACCTTCAGGCCCATCATCGGAAATCTGCTTCAGGTTAATGAAATGTGAAGCTAAAATCGTGTCACTGATGTTTGAATTGTCCTGAACTTGAATTTTAATTCTTCTACACAGCACTGGAAATAGCTGCATGAAAGTCACTTGTTTATTCCACACTGGGTTTGAGGATCTTGGAACAACAGATGTTTCACCCTAACAAACAAAAATAACTTGTCATCTTAAAAGAAAATGTTGTGTCACACATTGTGCTGATGTTTTTAGAAATTTACCTTTAAGACTGTACCATTTAAATATATATCATATGTTTAATTTTTGAGGACTGCAAACTAGAACAATTTACCAAACAATTACAATACAGAAATGAAACTACATCTGGCTTATCTCAAGTGGCATCTTGCGTTTTTCATAAGCTTTTTTGCATTGCAAATATGTCAAATGACACAAATGAGTAGAAAGGAAATGACAAAAAACTTAAGGGACAGACTTATTTAGATGCATTGAAATATATTTTGAAGCGTTTTAAAAACTGCATTCACTGAATTAATATGTGTTTAAAGCTTTACATAATTGTTAGTTGAATTGCATTGGTTTAGTGAAATGCAAGGCCCACAGTTCCAAACAAGGGAAGAAATAAGGGGGCGATTTATCAAGAATATCTAATCCATCTTTTACTAATTCTGGTGATTAAAGGAAATGGAGCAATGAAAAAACAAACCATCCTATTGATCTCACAATATCCTAATATTGGCAAGCAATTAAAGCAGTTCCTTAACATTTCAAAATGGATATAGAAAGTTGCCTTAGAAATGACATTTTCAACTAAATTTGGATAAATAAGGCAAGGTATAAGCTATACTGTGGACACAATGGCTATTTGCACAAGGATACATTAAAAACTAGGAAAACATACTGCACTGTAAATAACAACAGTAGTAAATGGAATATTACAGAGGAGGAAATGATAGTTGAGAATGATTTTTAATATTACGGTCTTCAGTCTCCTGGAAATGTCTACAGCTGCTCTGCATCTTGTCTTGTGGAAATTGTTTGTATGGTGTACAGCAGCCCTCTGCTTATCCCTGTGTACACAGTGCCCTCCAAATGTATTGAGAAAGTAAAGTCTGAACTGCAAATTTCTCTATGAACTCTACATTTTCTCGTGAACAAAACGTGACTTATAACTACAATTTTTATAAAGTATGTTATTGATATTACAGTCAAATAAATTATATTCTTGTGGGTCAATTAAACAAATTGGCAGTGTTGAACTGCTTTATTCTGAAGGAGCTAAAATATTAAGACAGTTTGCTGACAAACTGGTCAAAAGAGTCCCCTTATTGATCAGTAGTTGTTGTTGTTGTTGGGGAAATAATTAGGCATTAATAAATCTTCTGAATATCCTATCAACCTGTCTTACTTCTATTTCAGTGTTTGGAGTTTAGCAATCAAAAATCAAAATAAACAGTGGTTTTAAATAAAAACAAGCAATTCTGAAGCTGAATGAAAAGCAAAATTCAATCAGAACCATAACACAAAAACGGGGCATACCAAAATCAAACATCCTGGAATAAAGTTAAACAAATTCCTGTGAAGGAAACCCTCAAAATAATGGACAGTGTACATGTAAAGATACCAAAATCCACACTTTACAGAAGACTGAGACAGCAGAATTAAATTACAAATCCTACCCCACAAAATGTAAATTTTTCTCATCAGCATAAGTGAAAAAAAAAGATTAGAATTTGCTTGGAAATACAAAGATGAGAGTTTTAGAACTAAGTTGTATTGACAGATGTATGGACAGATAAGAAGAAAATAAAACTTTACCAAAGTGACAGGAAAAAAATAAAGTAAAATTGTGATGCTATACCTGTTGATCCACAAATGAGACAAGTATTTTGGGGTCAATAAAGACCTTGTTGTCACCCATGATCTTGGAAACTAAGCGTGAACTCATTCTAGGCAGGCCCTCAGCCTTGTAGATCTTCACACATAAGTAAGACCATGGCCTCTCTGCTGGGATTCCTTTTGGAAGCATCAGATTTCTGAAGAAACAGAGACAATCCTTTCCATATTTATAAGAAACTTACGAGTAAATGCATTCAGGCACATAATTATACAGTATTCTAACTTATTACTGCCCATATAGTAAGGACAGTAATTAAGGTCTGTTCTTTATAAAGGTGGTATTGAATGAGAGACAAGATATAACACAAAATGGAGTGACCAGAGGTGTAAAATCAAAGTAATAAGCTTTGCAAGAAGTACTACAAAGTTGAAGACCTGTATAGTCATTTTATCTTTAACAGTTCTACATTTGCAGTTATCTATTTACATGTATTTATATATTTATATCTTTCTGTACTCATTAAAAAAGAAACATTGCAAACAGAACAATTCTAACTTGCCTTTCAATGTAACTGGAGTAAGCTGTTGTACTGCCCGTGTGCACCAAATCCCCTTTCTGTGTAATGATGATGTCACATCTGACATAGCCCTTTATGGCGGCTGTGATGTCTTCTGGATTTGTCAGGATGGCCCACTTGTTCCGGAACATGTGATCTGCACAGAAGCATAAACTTTTAAAATTATCCGATTTTAAAACCCTTTAACATAAAGACAATTTTGTCTGTGTTGTGCTTTACACAAGGGAAGCTGAAGGCTTCTTTTTATAGTTCACCTCGAGGAAAGTATTGCCTTGGAGTGCAATCACTAAAAAATTAAAAAGTAAAAAGAAAATGAAAATAAATACATTTACTATATTTGTTTCTCCCAGTCTGGTGGAAGTGTATAGGAAAAATTATTCACTTCAAGATTTAAAGACTAAAAAGACAATTTTGGTGGGTCTGAACATTAAGAATGAAAAAATAAGAAATACATTATCCCCCTCTTCGTCCCCTAGCCATGTTTCAGTTATTACTATAATCAATGTCAAAGCTACCTGTTAATGCAGTAGCCTCGAGCTCTTGCAATTTTCTCCTTATGCTTCTGGCATTGAGTAATATGCCACTCTAACTGTTGATCATGGTTGAATGTCAGTTACGTTTATAACATAAGTAGAAAAACTGTCAGACGAACATTTTCTACCATCTAAAACATCTGGGCTCCTATTTTACAGTTTCACTCTTTTATCCTTCCTCCCTGTGTCTGAGACCCTGGGGTGGTGAGAAGCAGAAACAGATGACAGAAACACTGTTACCATGTTACTTGCCTTGCTGCTCGTAAACTGATGACACATCAATTTTGAACATCCCTATCAGAGTTTTCTTGAAAGGTATTTTGTCAGCGCTAAAAACCTGAAAAAAATTTATCATAATGTTTCATTAAAACAAGGACAAAATCCCTCAGTTTCAATTTGAGTGGTGAGAACTATGGGAACTTACCGATATCAGAATGATCTTATCCATAAGTAGATCTGGAGGTTCAAAAAACTCGAAATAAAAGTCCTGTAAAACATTTTGTTGGCATTACAATACTAAAACGTACAACACTAGCCCAGACCAAAAATAATTAAAAAGCATCATAAAAGCAAAGGCAAATTAAGACACTTTGATGTTGGCTGACATGTACCTAAACAAGGAGTGATTATTAATAAACTGATATAGTTTAAAGCTCAAGTCTTTCTTAGCTAACATTAACACTATTAAGTTTCTGTTTATGCTCCTAGCATGTGAAATTACAGCACATTCATAGATCAGGCTGCTTTCAATCCCATCACCAGCCTCTTTTTTATGAACTCATATGTCCACTATGGTGTCTGGAATCATAGAAGGAATAAATGTATTGATCATAATCTACCTTCAAATCCCTTTATATTGTTAATTCAATGCACATACTCAATTTCCACATTACTGTTTATTAATTCTTCTCAAATCACATTGATAGTATCTTTACTGCCTGACTCCTGTTATAAATTATTTTTGTTTTTGGTTACTTTTATTTTGTTTTTAAGCTGATCAGTAATAATATGTCATTTTAGACAAATAATTCTGACAAGAATTCTGGGAATGCCTTTGATTACAACATTTACAATGGATCAATAGTGAATGACAGCATATGGGAGACTCCGTTTTGCACATTACTGCTTTAACAAAACATCACAAAGCCTATGAAAACCAAACAAATATCAGGAGAGATAACACAGTACCGCATTGTATTCTGGGCAATTGGTGGACTTTTGAGTGCTTGTGTGCCTTTTCTTCCCATCAATGTCAATGTATACAACAGGATCGATGTTTATTCCACTCAGCTGCCTGGCTTCATGCACTGTTATATTAAACTTCACAGGGCACAG